GGCGCCTCCTCTCCATCAGCTGCGTACAATGGGCCGCTGCCGGCGGAGTGCATAGACAATCTCTCCATTATTGGAGCTGGAGGGTCGGGGCGGGGTGGGGGGCAGGCACGGGAAAGGCTTTATTCTGCTCTTTAAAAGCCGTCGCTTCTGCTCATCACTAGGCGGTCCTCTGCTCTGGGCGTGGAGACTGGAGCGCCTGGAAAACGCACCCCAAACGCGCTGGGTTCCCTAAACCCCTCCCTGGTGAGATTTAAAGTGAGAACCAGTATTTAAAAACAAACCCTACCTCTGTCAATACCGTAGGACCACTTACATCCGCCTTTACCTGAGAGCGTGTTGGAGCTCGGGATGCTCGACCTGAGACAAACTTTTACACTCTGCCGAGCCCCGGGGCAGGCAGGCGGTGGACCGCTGGCAGCGGCGGTGGCTTTGTCACTCCGAGCTTCTCCTGCGCCCGCCCGAGCCTGCCCGGGAAGCGAGCTCAAAACGAGGGGGGTGCGCGTGTGCTATTGGAGAATATGTAACTAATAGAAGTATCATTTTCCCTCAGTACGATCTTTCAAGGAAAAAAAATCCATTGAAAGAATTTTCACAGCGCTGTCTTCGTTTGGGGGCGGGGTGGGGGTGGGGGGGGAGACAGGCTGCCAGCGGGGAGGGGAGGGACTCGGCTGTGCACCGCCGGGGCGCGACTCCCGTCCGCTAGGTGGCAGCCGGAGCCAGCGATTCCAGCAGGCCCCGCGGCGGGACCCGCTCCTCCTGCCGGCCCCTCCTTCGGCGACCAATCACCTTCGGGAATCGAGGTCTCGGTCGCGTCTGTGTCTTTTCCTCCTCCTACCCCTTCCCTTCTCCCTCCACCTTTTCACATCTTCTCGCCCACTCCTCCCTCTCTTCCAGAGACCCTGTCTTGACCGCTCTAAGCGCCCCCAACAAAATGAGGACTTCTTTTTTCATAATTATTGATGCGTTGTTTGAAGTTTGGAACAGCCTGAGAATACAAAAGGAAAAAGAGATCGGGGTTGATTGAAAAGTTTATTTTTTTTAAATCATCTTTGGAGTGAATAAGAATCGTTGATTCGGATCGAATTTGAAATAACAGCTGCAAATTCCAGGAGTATGCTTTTTCATAATTAAACCTATAAAACCAAGATGTACTTTGCGTCAAAAAAAAATAGGGAAACCCTACTTTGTTTCTAAGAAGGAAATAAAGTGAGCAGAAACCACACTTGGGCAAACAATCCAAACCCAGCATATTATTTCACGGATCATTATAATGGTAGGGGTTCACGCCCATTAAATTTTTTCCAACATTTTCAGTGACACGCTTTTCACTCGCATACAATCTAATTTTTAAAACTTTTCAAAAGAATTCAAAATAATTCTCTTCTAATCCTCTTTTCGCACATCGCAATGCATTCTCCCGGTCTACATTCCCTCCCCCTCGTGTGTGTGTGTGTGTGTGTGTGTGTGTGTGTGTGTGTGTGACCATAGACGACCCATACTAATCAGGTCTCAGAGTAAATAGCAGCGCAGGGCGATCTCAATGTAAATTGCGCTTGTCAGAAGCACACCCCCTCCCTCACTTTCTCTCCTCCTCCCCTTCGCATCCCAGTCAGTAGGTAGCTAAGAGGGAGGGGGGGAAGAAAGAAAGAAAAAGAGGTGGGGGAGGGGCCCGCCAACCAATGGCGTGCGGGAGGCTTGGCTAACCTTAGCCTCCCATTTTCTCTCCCCCCACCCACCCACCCCCGATTCAGGGCTCTGACCAGTCAGTCGCCTTTGATTATCAGTTGCCAGCAGCCCTTCTCTTGGCTCCTTGACACGAGCTCCATATAAGGCAGCGATCTCCATAGAAACGTGTCAGTTTCAATAGTAGTGTCAAAGTTCACTATATACAGACATTCGCGCAGATCCCCCTTTCGGAAACATTGCTCTGCGAGTCCTCCCGTTTAAACGCATTCAATTTTTGGGTCTCTCTCTTTCTCTCTCTCTCTCTCTCTCTCTCTCTCTCTCTCTC